TATACCTTAAGTTAAGGAGTGAATGTTCCCCCTTCTTTTACACCTCTTGACCTTTGACCTTTGACCCCCAAGCTTCTATATCCCATGTCGTTTTCGGATTACCCCCCCACATCCCGAATATCGTGACCGTACGTCGAGCGGTTAAGATTTGTGCCCAACTGTTGACGCCCGGACGGACGCACGGACGGACGCACGGACGGACGGACGCACGGACGATCAAGCGATTCTACAAGCTGCATCTGACTATGTCAGATGAGCTAAAAACATGAAAATTACGCAAGTCTTCCTGAAGGAGACCAACCTTTTTGTAGGAAGACATCAAGCTGATCGTTACAAATGTTCTTCAACTCTTGCTCTGGCTTGTCTTTCTTGACCAATGCAACTACGTATTTCGCCAAAGCAGCAGGATCTGCATCGGTCCTGCAATAGTTTACAGTACTGTTACCGCTTCCTAGGAAATGATAAATTTTTTTACATATTAAAACGATGCATCAACAACGTAGTAAGTACCGTACCACCTAAACTTAAAAGTAAAACTAAAACATGAACGCCAGAACTGAGAACGGCACAAAATGCGGAAGTAGATTCGTTTTAATACAGTAAACCCTTCGTCTTTAGACAACGTTGCATATTTAAACTTACATGGGTGTCAGCGCTCTCGTAAGCCATAGTTTCAGTGCTTCGATGTTTTCAATGAGAACCATATTCACGATTCGAGGAAACGCGATGTAGGTCTAGCTACTTTGGATTAGAAGTTACAACGCGAAAGGTTTTTTTTCGTGATCACGTTTTGAATAATATGGACAATAAGTGGGCTACAATCGAGTAACCATGCAGTGCATTCGGGTCGATACTTTATTCTTGCGATTATACACAACCTTATGTAACAAACACTGCAAAATATTTGTTTAAACGAAACATGCTGCATGAAAATTCAATTCTAGCAATATTCACATGATGGCGACATAGCCTCGTTTACAACTTTTATGAACAAGTGGCGACACAAATAGCTGCAAACAGCTTTATGTTTAGAAGAATAAAATCAAAATCACTGAACCAATTTAAGGATTTAATAATGGTATGCACAAATAAAGTACATTTTATTTATTTATCACCTATAATATTAAATTCTGAAGCCGCGAATTTGTTTGTCCTATCGTCATCGTCTCAATAAGAAACGTACGTGTCGAGCATTGAGGCTCATAGGGTCTATGTCCCCCAGGGTACTGCCGGAACGTACCCTGGTAACTATCTAGCTGATATGGTTAGGGTTTGGGTTAGGGTTAGGGTTAGAGTTAGGGTTAGGGACTAGGCGTAGGCGACTCCCTAGACTCGTTAGTTGAGTTTACGTACAGAATATGCTGAAGTTTTTTTCTCGTTTATATTTTTTCTTCATGTATCTGTTTCTGTTTTGTATTGTATCACTCAGAAAGCTTCTATTTTTTCTTCTTCTTTTTTTTCTTCTTTTTAACTGCTCAACACTTACCTTAATCACTTTACTTGTACATAATATGCTGAAGTTTTTTTTTTGTATATATTTTTTCTTTATACTGTATTTCAATGTTTTGTACTGTATCACTGTATCACTCAGAAATTTGGGGGATCGTGGGTATATATTTGCTATAGTTTATAGTATAGTATGTACAATGTTATGTTGGACCACAATGGAAATAAGTGTGTTAGCCACGCTTTTGTGTGTTTTCATCCGCGATAATTTTCTAGCTGCATTTTGTTTATTTATGCTGTTATCGATGTAATGTATGCTTTAGTAATTATCGAAATAAATAAATCAAAAAATAGGCGAGGTACGGTCTGGCATATTAGATAGTAGTATTTAGCAGGGCCGTAGTGGCCGCCACGGCAGCACGCCACTGCCGTAGCACTATTTTGAAAAAAAAATTCTGCAGGGAACCAAGGAGCAACATATACCAAAGAGATGAAACCCCGTGGCGGGCACTCACCCCACATTATGGTAGGTATGTGCCACTGCGAAGACCTGAAAATGGGGGGTCTCTGGGACTAATGTTTGTTGAATGTGGTATGCTCTGGAACTGGCTATGTTCGAAAATGGGGGTCTCCGGAACTAGGATTTCGTTGAAATTCAATGCTATGACACTGGACACGTTTAAAAGACAGTCCGGAACTGTGGGGGGAACAGTGATTTGCTTTAAAATCACTTTTTATGCTGTAGCACTTGAACCAATAATTGTTGTATTATGTAGAAGAGAAAAAACATGACCCGGAGAGAGATGAACGCACGCGCACACGCACACGCACACACACACACACACACACACACACACACACACACACACACA